TGTGTGTCTGTGTGTCTGTGTTTTGTTGCATATGGTAAGATCAAATACAGTGACATTTAATAGTCCCAGCCAAATACATACTTCTCTCTTGTCATTCAGGATAGCTGTGCACGAGTTCTCCTGTTCCGGGGGGCCAATAAAGAGATAAAGAACTACAACAGCCAGACCGCCTTTCAGGTATGTGTGGTATCCAAGAACCACTGCATGTTACTGTGTGAATTATCACACCTGGCATCTTTGGCATGTCAGAGCTGAATGGATTGAATGACTTGTCTTACACAGCCTAATGCTGCTTCATTGAATATGTTGCTACTAAAAACCTATGCAGCGTAACTGCCCCCACCCTTACACGCTTTGTGTCTGAATTCCAGCCTTTCTAATTGTTGAAGTCTGTGTGAAATTGACACTGGCACAGATTTCTGGTGCGGATCAAAGTTAATTTGTTTGTACACAAGGCAGGCTGGTAGATTTTACATGTCTGCCACAGCAAAGTACAAAATATGTGAAACATTTATTAGAAGAGTGAGAGAAAAAATGGAATGTATTTATATTTATTTATTAGTATGAGTTGTTTTTTTTCTTCCATAGGTTCAAAATTACCTGTTTCATATTCCATCACTTATGTTTTTACCCCTTTCCCTGCCGTCCTCTCTTTTCCCCTCCTCCAGGTGGCTATTATAGCAGGAAACTTTGATCTGGCTGAAATCATAAAGGTCCACAAAGTATCAGATGTTGGTAAGTTGACAGAAGTGATAGTTTATTACCAGGCTCGCTCAGTGTTTTATATATTTAAACATGAATGTAAGTCAGTAAGTCAGACTGAAGAATGGCTAAGCATGGGCAGTGGAGAATCTAAAGGACTACAGATTATACTCAGAGGTGTGGGGAAATCAAGGAAAGGAGATGGAAATGTAATGAATGTGGAGAGGGTTTCGTGGGTATATTGGATCCCATGTTGAGTGGAGTTTACCTGTGACATTAACATACAGGAAAACTCTGCCATCTAGTGTGGACAGGATGTAATACCCCACTTTCTGCATTGTGACATAGTGTTATTTATGTGTTTAATCCCTTTTAACAATAAACAGATTAAAATAAGAATTACGTGTAATATTTGGAATGAATGGCTCATTCATTATTAATGATAATTTTGCCAACTATAGATACACTTTATACAGCCAAGTACTGGTACTGTATGTGTGAACTTAAACACACACTGTTAATTATTTTAGCAAGCTTACATTTTTTATTATGAGAATATTTAATTCACAGTTACAAAAAAAGTTTTGTAATGCAATTATCAAAGATCCTTTACAGTTTTCCTTATTTTGCATTTGGTCCTTTGTTCTTCAGTCATCAGTAATAAAATATGATGATTGATAAGCTTGATAACCCTAACCCTAACCCTAACCCTAACCCAGTTCAATAATCTAATCTCTAAATCTGCGTTAGTTGTTAAATAAATACATTGCAAGTTAAATGGAATCAAAACCTACTCGAATATCAGTGCCACCTAGTATTTTATTAATTCTGCTTGCTACAGTAGCTTCATATGACATGGTGAGTCTGTTAAGAGATGCTCCAGGCATGAATGTGTCTCTTTTGTCTCTCAGTGCCTTTCAGGGAGACCCCCTCCTACACCAACCGTCGACGTGCATTGCCTGGCCCCCTGCCCTCACCACGTTCCTTGCTCCGCTCTGCGAGTGACAACAACCTGAATGGGGACCACGATCACATCCACAGTCAGGCCCCCAGAGAAATCCGTGGCCGTCAGGGTCACTCGCCTGTTCCCTCACTGCGTAGTCTGCCAGCTCTTGGGCAGCAGCACAGCAGCCTTGGAGAGGTAAGATAGTGCTAGTGAGGCTGTGCAGGTGAATTTTTTTTTCAAGGTTTATTTTTTGTGTGTGCTCACATTTTAGCATGAAATTGGGAGTAGACAAAACCAGCAAATGATCCATATGTTACACAAAGACGATTGCAATGTTTTGCAGTGCACTTGATACTAATTTGATAACTTTATCTACTCTGTGTCAGAGCCGTCATGGAGAGATTCCCGACAGCAGTCTCCAGAGCACGGGGAGCTCCAGATCCTCGCATTCCCGCTCTCCCTCGCTACATCACATGCATGAAGAAGACAAGCCAGTTCCGAGAAGGTCCCACAGCCATGGCTACCCTCATGGGCACGGTCATCGTGGAAGACTCAGGTCTGTAAGATTTGCTTTGACCTTGGTATGAGTGATTACTCAAATAAACACATTTTTAGAGAGCTTTTTAAACAAGCAAATCTCTTTCTTCCTGTTCCTTATTCACGTCTCACACTTACAATCTTGGCAGCTGTTCACTTTAAATAGATAATCTGTGATTTTCTTGTGATTATGCACCTACTTTAATTATTTAAACCAAATTTCAGAAAGCAAAAAGCCCCATGTGATGTGTCTGAATCACTTGTTAGTCACCAGACAGCATTCTGCATCTTATTCCATCTGCTACTGTCTGCTACTGGTGATAAACATGACATAACATCAATCAGTGCAAAATCTTCATTTATTCATACATCAATCCCAGGCACATATGACAGTCTTTATCCTGTTTAACTGTACCTGCCCTGCTGGGTCATCTATATAAAACATAACTGGGAATTTAATCAGTATGGTAATACATTTATATCAGATTTATAGTGACTGATTGAAATACTGGTCAGTATGAGGTCTGTTAAAATTGCATTTGGTGTAGTTGTTGGCCTGTGCTCCTGTCCGGATATGAAGGCAATGATCAGTGGAATGGTGTGTGGCACAGACAACAGCCCTATTTATGTAACAAGCTAGGATGAAATGCACCATTTGTCCTGCTGGGAGGACAGAGGGCAAATAACATACTTACAATCTGTGTGTTTGTCTCTGTGTTCCTATGTGTGAACGTGTATGTATAACCACTTGCACAGTGCTATGGGCATGGGTGCTTGCACAGTTCAGGGATAGACAGATGGAAAGCGGCTAATAATGATCACCATGGGGACCAATTGAAGGCTGCCAAGCTGTGAATGTGTATCAGTTTGTGTGACAGAGATTGAGAGACTGAGGATACATTCTGAAATTAGAGCTATGAGTAATGTCATTGGACGGGCCTCTCAGTTCAAAACAGCTTGTCACTCGATTGATACATAAATCCACGGATGTAGGATTGTGCTGTTGGGGTGCTGGAACAAATCTCCTTTGTACTCTGAACCATTAGACAAAATGCACAGTAAACTAGGGCTCTGATCACATCTCGGAGCGGTAGATTTAAGTGGTTTACTGACCTTTTTATTATGATCATATGTTAGAGCAAGATCACCTACAGTACATACAGCACACACCTAATGGGATTCCTGGATGCCACACACACTGTGTGTATGTGTGTGAAACAGTCTGATGTCTGACAGGGGAATTGCATTACAGGCACAGCTCCAGCCGTACTCCCCTCTACCTCTAATACTCTCCTGTCACTGTACTCCATCCATCAAAGACTTTCTCTCTCTACCTCTCATTCTGTCATTTATACACACAAGCTGTCCTATTAATCTATGGTTTGCAGCCAGAGAGCAGTCAACATCCTTTATTAGATCATGTAGCATGCACACATTACACAGCATAAAAACTGAAGCTCTGGATTAAGGATTAAATTAAATTATATTAAGTGAGTTTAAATCATTAATACATTCACAGTGGAATGTTTAAACTACCCTCCTCTATTTCTATCAAATGCTCTGCCCCATAATGGTAACAAATTAAGTGTATCTTCTTCTGTTATATCTGGCATGACTGGCATTAATGTTAACTGACAGAAAAACGTTTTTCTCTGTCACTGTGCTCATTTCGTACAAGGTTGGGTAGCCAGAGTGCGAAGAAAGGGAAGGACAAGTGAGAAAGAAAAAAGGAGGATAGCAGGTTTAGTATGTCCGCTGTGTCCTGGCCTAAATGGCCTTCTGTACACAGGGAGTTGAGACCTTGTTCTTCAGTGTGCATTACCCTTACACCAAGTATTAAAGTGAGGTGAATGTATAAAAACCCAAAACGAGCAGCTGGTCTCCATGGCCAGAACTTGCACCCAAGTGAGACTGATGCTGTCCTTGAATATTTTCTCTCTAATATTTCTCCTCCCTCTCTCTGTTTCTCTCTCTGACCTTCTGTTTATGCCCATGGTAACTCTAGAGGCATTATGGATACCAGGGGAGTGTGAAATTAGCTTGGCTGGTCAACAGCCCGCCCAACGGCAGACTCCAGCAAGTTCCTGTGGAACTCGCCATCACTTCCTCCTCAGTGCACGTGTGCAGTGCTGCCAGGGTTCAATAGCTAGGCCAGGCTTCAGCAGAAAGTTTAGATGGAAACAATAGATATAACAGAACGATCAGGTCAGATTGGCTTATTGAGACTAGATCATGGAGACTAGACCATGGAAGATCACACTAAGAAAGGGTGGAAGTGTAGGTGCAGCAATCATTCCAGCTCATGTAGTTTATTTAGAGAAAAGCATATCTGCCTGTGTCATAAGAGGTTAATTGGCTACTTACCTTGATGTGCTGTCAATACAAAGAGGTAATTCATAATCGACAGGACACTGTCTTTGAAACAGTGTCAGTGTCAGAAATTGTGATATTGAGTTGTGCACCTCAGGACCAAGTTATCAGTCTTGGTTTGGAAGAAAAGCTCTCAAGCTGTCAGAAAGACAAAAATTACTGAACAGAAGATACCAACTTTTATCTTTTTTATTTTCAGTATGTTGCTTTTGTTTCAGCAGAGAACACATAGTTCACATATAATCCAACTTCCTTTGCAGTTGTTATTGTAAAAATTGTACTTCACTAGGATTTATTGGGTAAAAACAATTATTGCATACCCTCTGATTTTGGTAAGAGATGGATATTTGTCCGGGTGCACAGGTTCTGTTAAACCACACCGTGGTTGGTTGATAAAAATGTTTGAATGTCAAGATAAGCTTTGGAGATTGGACACAAGGGACCAAATCTTCCTTTCAAATGAAGATTCAGTGACAAAACATTACCTAAAACATGTTGTTAAGTAAGATTGTTATTGTAGCTGAGCTAGTCATCGCTGAGCAAGAAAATGTCATCATCATGATCCCGTCATGTGTCTTATAAGGGCAACATTAAGGCCCAACATTGAGGTGTCCCGTTCCCTTCACCTTTTAATTCTTTGTTTGTTTGTTGCTGTTCTCCTCACCTCTTTCTCACCCCATATCCCTCCCTCTTTCTTGCATTAGTCACACCAGTGGCTGTTGGTGTGTAGATTATCCATGGCGTCTTAACACAGCCAAAGGGCTGAGGTACACAGAAAAGAAAGGACAGGAATAGCGAGGAAGAGGAGGAGGAGGAAATAAAGAGTTGGATCTTCTTCTGTTGCACCTGTGGAGAATCTATATCAAATGAGTACACAGTGGTATTGGTCTGTGCACATGATAATCTCAGGTGATGCTGATTGGCTAATAAGTAATCCAAGTGGCTTTTTATTGTTTCTCCAGTACAGTCATGTCGTGTAACATTAAGCATGTATAAGTTTTACAGCAATAATATAAATAACTGATTAAATGAATTGATTCTTAGTGTTAATTAATCAGGGTGAGAATGCATCAAAGGATGATGATGTGGGTTATAAATAGTCTCTTCTTAATATGGTGACTGCCAGTAATTAAAGGCACAAAACCAAAACATGCCAGCACCTCAGGTACCTTAACCACTCTTAAGCATCTTCTGCCACTCATTTCAGTCCGATCGTGCTAGCCATAACGATGGTAGCCTTGATTTCCTTCTCGCCAGCCGCATTCTCAAGCTCCTCCTGGGGTATTTCGAGGGGTTCCAAGGCCAGATTGGATATGTAATCCCTTCAGCGTGTTCTATGTCTGCCCTGGGATCTCCTTCAGTTTGATGTGCCCATGACGTTTTACTCTGAACTCCATGCATATCTAAGCCCTTGAGCCCAAAAACTAATTTACCCTCTTATATCCATGATCTCCTTCTTTCTGTCAGTTACTAGAGCTCTTGACCATAGGTGACCACTGGAACGTAGATCATCTCAGAGCCCTGCCTTTAGTCTTCACCATCACCATCTAATATGAAACTGCAGGCGCCGTATCAATACACCTGTTAATCTCAGATTCAGACGTTGGCCATGGTGCTAAACATATACACCGATCAGCCATAACATTATCATCACCTGGGCACCCTGGGCCAGCCTTCACTCCCCACGTGCATCAATGAGCCTTGGTCGTCCATGACCCTGTCTCGTGGTTCCACTGCTTGTGCGTGTGTGGGCAGTGTGTGGGCTTGATAGGTACTGACCACTGCAGACCGGGAACACCCCACAAGAGCTGCAGTTTTGGAGATGCTCTGACCCAGTCGTCACACAATTTGGCCCTAGTCAAAGTCGCTCAATCCATTTTTCCCGCTTCTAACACATCAACTTTGAGGACAGAATGTTCACTTGCTGCATAACATATCCCACCCACTGACAGGTTCCATGATAACAAGATTATCAGTATTATTCACTTTACCTGTCAGTGCTCAATGTTATGGCTGAGCGGTGTAGATAAGCAATGTACATATTATCCAAGTGGTGTTTTGCTCGTTAAAAAGCTTAGCAGGGAATTCCTATTAAGCTTTACGCCATACACTTAAGTAGGTTTTGTGATTTGTAATATACTTTTATAATGCAGTAAATTAGGAGAAGTATGTATGTATGTACACTCAGGAAAGTGTAGAGAAAATGTTTAGTGTAGGTCAAAAGAATGCCAAACCATATGAATGTTGTCACTATGGGCTAAGCTACACGGTTCTCAAACTATGGTACATGTACCACTGGTAGTATGCGAGCTTCATCTAGCGGTACATGGAAGAGTCACTGAAGGAGGTGGTGTAAAAAGTTTTAGAAAACATCTGGTCCTCCTCCCCTCTTCCTCAAACTGAGGTGGAGTTAAGGGTTATATGTTGATCACACCAATTGACCCTTTCTTCAAATTTAGCTAAATGGTGAAGTCTCTGTGAAGCATACGCTGTCCATGTATCAACAGGCCTTAATATTTTCTGCCCAATGAGCAGAGACCACTTTCTACCGCCACCTTGATAATCATAAACACTCCCACGTTGGGCAAGAAAGAATGAGGGAGCATATATTCATTCAAGCGCAGCAAAGCAAGGACAGACTGATGATCATTAGGATGCAAAGTGTGCTGCTGATTATGACTGTGTTTATAATGTGCTCATCTCACCTTAGAGAGCTGGGCTATTTGAGGAAAAAGCCATTTACCTGAGAAGGCAAGGCAGTCATGTGAGAAAATGCTACACTGAAGCTGCTTAGTTTGATATCATCTGTGTAAATGGCATTTAATGACATTTCCAGTTGCATCTTCAGAGTTATGTAAGCAGATTTTGACTTCCAAACTGAGGGAGCTAGACTCGAGCCGTTCCGGTGTTAAAGTGGGCTTACTGATCCTAATCAAGCAGCTGATAGCTGGAATACCCAAATTATTGGCTTTAATACTTCTGATAAAGGTCACTTATCTGTTATAATATCAAGTTTGTTCCAGTCTCGAAAACACAGATGAGGAGGTGAAAGGCACCTAATAAATAACACAAAATGTTAAAAACTTCAAACATCCACATTATTTATTTTTGGATGCTTTGTGCAGCTCACAAATTAAAGTATGTATACTTAATGTTTAAAAGATACAGTTAATAGCCAATAGAGAACTTATATCACTACATACTGTACACTATTTAGGATAAAATTTACATTTGCATCTTATCCCTTTATTTGCATGAAGACTAAAACTATATTGGGAGCCAGTGTCACTGAGATCTGTGTTAACTGTTATTTCGTTCAATAGCTGTAGTGCACTGTTTTTCCTTCAGTGAGATTACTTGAATGTGTGAATATAAAGAGAAAAATAGTCAGTTGGGACAAAAGGCAAATGATTTCTGCCAAATTTACTCTTACCGATATTCAAGTTCATATTATTGACTTATCAGTGCATTTGTTGGATAGATTTTCTTTGCTTTTATTGACAGTTGCCATCGTTACAGAGGCAGGGCTCGTGTCCTAGGAAACGATGGAGCTTTTGTAATAGACTGCATTAGAACTATGTGTATGTGTGTGTATGTGTGTACGTGTGTGTGTGCATGTAATGGATCCTACATCTGTATCTTGTAGAAGCCACTTATAATGAGGCACAGTGAAAGAGAGGAAGATACAGCGAAACAAAATAAGCAGGAAAACAAAAGCTGTTTGGTCAAATGCAGCACAGGTTTGCATATGAAAACTGTTACTTATGTCATCATTCAAAATTCATCAAGTGAGTGGAATGTTTAAAATGTAAACACCAGGCATAAGATATGTAAATCTTTTGTTCCTTATGGGAAACTTGATATACAGATCTAGGTAGAATACTATTTTATATTCCGTATCCAACAGTAAAAGATGAACAATGTAACAAAATAGGCATGAAACCAAAAATATCGACGCATACAACTTATGAAGGCAAGAACACTGCGTATTTGTCATCTCGCTCTTGACTGCAGATGAAAAGTAAATTAGAAATCCTTTCTACAAAGCTACCCTAACCCTAACAACAAAGAAGTTGCTTTTGGCTCTCATTTGGTCTAATTTCAAAGTGATTGTACATAGACTTCTGGTAGACTCTTCCAGTGAGCTGTAATATAATAATAATATAGCCAGAGAGGATATGAAATAATATATCTAAGATATTACCAATGGCAACTCATGGGTGGATTACAATACTAATGATTGCAATGACTATTTAGAGCTGAAAAACAAGTGTGGGTGAGAAATGGTAAAATCTTACTTTTGATAAAAGACATTTAACCATGTCAAATTTTAGGGTTCTGGATGGTTTTGAATTTCTGATATCTGATCTATGGTCATTCTAATGTTTTCGTTGTGTTTACCAATTTTAGCCTTGTTCCATTAAACGCAAACAGGTAATTAAAGCTGAGAAGAGAGCAGAAACCACCACCCCTCCCTTCTGTCTGACACATAGATAACACGTGTCGACCGAACCATCATCAGCTCAACGGCAGGGAGCATCTGGGGTCAAGCTGTGTATGTAACCTCACAGTGGGTTTATGGTGATGCAGAGGTGTGTGAGTGGAGGAGGCAGATTTGAGTCACTGAAATAGATATCCTTTAAGGGATTTAATGTTTTGGCTGTCTGTGTCACTTTGACATAGCCTCATATGCCTGCTTCCCCAGCCCTTCCCTCCTCTCCACTGTGTGTGCTGCTGATGTTCAGTGCCGGGGCTCAGACATTAAAATGCGGCAGCCATCCAGGCCCCTCAGTCCCTGCGGTAATTGGAAAGCCGTCAGCAAGCCGTTGTTTCGATGGAGAAGGGGACAGAGAAAGAGAGGCTGTGTGAGATGGGGAGAGCGAGAAAAGCAATAGAGAGCTGGCGAAAGAAAGAGACAAACAAGGCTTGAAATGAGGAAAGGGGTAGACAGAAGGATGGGAAAATGAAGAGGAAAGGGATCAGGAGACTGGAATCAGGTGTATGAAGGAATGAAAGCTATGAAGTGACTGAACGTGCTGTGGGAGGAACAGCAAGTGACTGAAAGAGGTTGAAAGGTGGATAGACAGGGATGAAGGGGTTTAGAGATTTCTAGTCTTTCAAGTAAATGTTGCAGAGAATAGCATCAAAGTCCCAGTTCAGGGCATAATCGGGTCACTTGTTACAGTGAATGAACAGTGAATTTGTTTGTGACAAATATACTGTCAGATCAGGTAAACATGAGCATCTAATTTGGTTAAATATTGTCATTAATATCATTAATAATGTGTATTACATGTGTTTCTGATGTATGTCAAAATTACTCACACAGCGGTGGCAAAGTAGTGATGAATGAAGACTAGGCGGAGCTCTGTTGCTGTATTAGAATTCACTGCCAGAGAGGGATGGGAAGAAAGAGAGTGAAGATGCAATGCGAAGAAATGTTGAGAAGGAGAGGGATAACAGGGTGACATGGAAGCAAGAGAATGAGAGAAAGAAGGAGGGGATTTAAGGCAAGGGAAAGAGGGAGGAGCGACAATTAAACCAAATGGGCTGGAGCTTTTTGTCCCCCGCCCCACTGCACATGCACACACGCTCACTCACTCACACACACACACAAACACACACATATGCACATACTCTCACAGCCTGCCTCAGGGAGCAATGGCGCATGCACGCTCGCGGGCAGACAGGCAGGAGGGGATCAATCGTGCTCTGGGACTAGTGTGTGTATGTGAGTGTCAGCGATGTGTTAGCAACATGCTGGTGGTGGCGTATGCCATGCTAGCGGAGGTGCAATGTTAACAGGAGTGGAGGGGGCTGTCTGTGTATGTGCCTGTGCGCACAGCTAGAATGCACACAGAGGGCTTGTGGTGTGCGAGTGTGAGCGAGCCGTCAAAGGGGAGGGGAGCTACGGAGCGCAGCAGCAGCAGCAGCAGCAGCAGTAGCAGCAGCATTGCCAGAGTGTGTGTGAGTGTGTGTGAGCGAGCGTGTGTGTGTGAGGGGTGGAGGGGAGAGGAGAGGCAGACACGGCAGGACTCCCGGGAGAAGAAGCGGGAGTCGGGGAGCAGACCCAGCCTCTCTCCTCCACAGCAGGAGAGCCAGGACCCAAGGACGAGGCTGTATCTGTAGCCCAGCCTGGAGCAGTTGAGACTGGGGACACACGAGGGATCTCTGTCCCTCTCTGGAGGGGGGCTTCTACTGGAGCCCTAACTCAGGATGTGTCTGACTAAGGGGGTCTTCCTGACAGATCTGACAGACACACACAGAGGAGGAAACAGTGCAGCCCATCTTACCGTTAAACATTTCGGCTTCTACCTCGGTTAGGATGCGGGGGAGGGGGGAGAGATAGAGGGAGAGGGTAAAAGGGAGCAAGAAGGATATTGTCTGTGCTATTAAGGAAGGAAGAGAGGGAATAAGACGAGGAGGAGGGGGAGAGAGTGGTTGGGAGGAGTGTACTCTCCTCTCATGACTCTCCCATGGAACACTGACTATTGACTGTTGAGCGGCAGGCACTGGGACTTGTTTATGAATCCCTCCCTGGCCACTGTAACAACCAAGGGGTGTCACCAGGTTACCGTCCCGCTGACAACCATGTCGGTGACCACGGGCTTCAGCTACCAGCTCCCTGGAATCACCACAGTAACGTATGTGTTTGTTTACAGCCCCGGCTCAGTGCAAAGAGACCCAAGCCCTCCTCATCACACCCCTCCAGCACTGACGGGCCCCCGCGGGCCCAAACGCAAACTCTACAGTGCTGTCCCAGGACGTACCTTCATCGTGGTGAAGCCCTACACGCCACAGGGGGAGGGAGAGATCCAACTCAACCGTGGAGAGAGAGTCAAAGGTAGGTTATCTACTATTACTTTTTACTACATGTTTTATTCCCTCACTTAACCTACTACTGTGACTACTACTTCTTGTCTCTACTGATGTATTCTGTATTTCCTAGCATGCCAGCTCTCTATCTCTACTAGTGATGTTTAAGGTCTCATGTAAAGTTCTCGGCAACATGTGGCCTTCATGACTGTCAGAGCTGGATGTGTTAAAAAAAAAGAAGAAGCAGCCATTCATATGCTCAGATACAAAGCTCACCATTACTTCATTGTGTTTTTTGGCTGCAAAGTTATGTAATCTCTCAACCTGGAAGTCATTTCAGTGTCATTTGAGCTTGACATTGTGAATTATCATTACATTCACTTTGTAAATGTGCTGTTTTCTGCTTTACACAGAGGTGCCGTGGCTTCGCTTTTATGTGTTTGTGTGTGTGCTTTTGTTTCCATCCATGCTTCACTCAAGACTATGACTGTAATGACGTAGAAGGTAAACTCCATAATATTCTTCTCACCCGGTTTCCCTCCCATACACTTCAGTGTGTCAACCCTACACCTACAGTCTAGCAATTAGTTCCTGGTCCTGTTTGAATCCACTTGAGATATATGTACAATCTCAGTACAAATCTGTGATTACTTCAAGGAGAGGGCATGCAAATTCAAACAGGTCCCGTGTGCTTTTGGTTGTTGGTATGCATACACAAACTGTGTCCTTCATCCTCTCTGAGAGTGCTTCCCCCTGAACGTACAACTGTTTTTCTCCCTACTCTTATCACCTGTCCACAGACACCCAGCTCCACATTGACCCCACACCCTACATCCTGCCACTTCACATACATCACCATGGATCAAACCCACATTAGCTTAATGGAACCAGTTCCCTCATGTCCTCAGAAAGGCTGGAGAGAGAGTCGCTGCACTCATGCTGAGACCTCTCATGTTCCTTTCAGATCTACAGAGGCACAGGAAGTACAGATTAAGGGTCAGTTTGGAATTTCAATTTGGATTTTGAAAAAAAAAACACACATACACACACACACACACACACACCCACACAAACACTTACATCTCTCTCTTCCTCATTTTCAGAATCAGTTAATAACAAACACAAGTCTATACCCACTGAAAATACCCCTTCTACCTGCCTGCATACTTACTGAAGTGTTCCCACCCCTGCCTAGATGTTTTCTGTCTTCCACCTTCTCTGACCTTAAAAACCTTTTCCAGCAGACCTCCTCCTGTATGCTTTGATGCCTCTTCTTTAAAGTAGGGAGTCTGTTTGATGGAAACACTGCTGTCATTTACACTGGAATTACTAAAACAGATGATAAACAATTCAGATTGAACAATTCACACTCGTGCTTTTGCTGAACAAAACTGATTGATACAGCATTGTCTGTAACTGTGATGCATACTGATGTTGACACAAATGGTATCGGGAATGTGATGACTCAACAGCCTCCATCTACTGAATGAATCTGCTGTCACTGTTTTTTTCTGTCGGTGCAGCTGAATCCATAACCTTGCCACTAATGTGAACACACAGTGTTTTGCCGTTCTTTCATGTTGGCCATGCAGGAAACAAGCTTACAGTCGTATGGCTGCCAGCACCATGGTCCAGCCAAGTAAACCATCTGGCTCTGTTATGCAACACTGACCATCATAACCATTACTGTGTTGCATTCACTATGCCTCTGTAGTCCTGGGATGTAAACTGAGAAATACATCATTGATGTCAACTGGCTGTTGAATAGCTTAGATCATAGGCTGTTCAGGTTCTATGTAACAGGTTTCTTTAGTGCAGTAGTCCTAGCATACAATCCCAGCAGGGAATGACCACCCCTCCTGGTGCACAGATAGGCTAGGCTTCTGCCACTTCCTTTAGGGATGGATGACCCTTGGTTTGATACATAATGCATTTCATCTAATCTGCATTCATAAATGGATGAGTTGCTAATAGTGATAGGGCTCATTTGCAATGGAGGACAAGAGGAGGTAAGGCAAGTGAAAGAGAGGGGGAATTTTCTGTCTGATCCTCGTGATTAAGGTGAGAAACAAATAAAAAACATCTACACCTTCGGGGATGTTGATTAGCCCCAAGTCAAGACTAGTTTTCATGTTTGTGTGTGTAAATGTGCATGTATGTGAAGTAAATATCCACAGCATTGTTTGTACCTTGACGTTAACTCAGATAATGCTTCAGACTACAAACATTTTGATGATTCAGTTATAGTTAGATAATTAGCCACTTCACCACCCTCCCTTCCCCATCCACCAAACACACACACTCATACACACAGTCACTCATACAGTCATCTTTGTCTTCCTGTTAATGTCCTCACATCGGCCATACCAGAGGAGCATCTTTATGATGAGATTATACTGGGTAAATCTCACTAAATGATTTGTATAGCTGGCAGATTGTGTGTTCGCCTTTATGTATGTGTAACGTGTGTTAGCATTCATGCTTACATATGTAAGCATTAGCATAACTGTCTATTAGCTCACCTGTTAGTAAGACAGATTGGTGGCCTGTTGAGGCAGGAATATTGTATGCCGTACAGAGAAAGATGTGTCCTACTGTGTAGTTTAATGGAGATCATTGATTTTGGCCTAATGGGAAACACACTGTAGTTCTCAGCAGTAGACTGTAGCACATTCCCAGTCAAGTGTGTTTATAGTGAAGGTTTTTAAAAAAAATATAAGATTCTTGAAAATTTAAGAAGTGTATATTAACAATTGAACGATTTGGTCATTTCTTTTCTACTTTTTTGTAGAGAAGGATGAGGATCTGGACTCTGATGGTAAATACAGTAGAGCAGTTTAGCAAAACTTTCCATAGCATTTTGTTTTATGTAAAACCTACAGCTGAACTAACTGGTTCGAGATTGTCATGTTACTTAACTAGGACATGTGTTTTTTCAGATGAAAGCCTTGATGTTGTGATTAGTATGTGTTATATGTGTTTATTCACTGCAAGATATGAATCCTAATTTAAATGGGAAAAGTTTCATCATTTAATGAGAGCAAGCAGTTTAGCCAGCTTCATTCTGCAACTGAAGAGTGCTTTCAAATTCTAAACCCCATTTTTGGTCAACTTGAAGGGTCTTCCTTGATTATTTACTGCTTTCTTACACAGCATGACAATTTAATGGCAGTGCACATTAACTAACTAAAATTCAAAACTACTGTTATGCCCTGTTAAAGTTCCCCATAAAAGTTAATGTGCACCAGAAATGGGCAGTATTTAATTCATGTTGTAGCTAGCACTATGAAAGTATACCACCCCATATCAGTCTCATGAGATTTTTGAGGGCAGCATTATGCTCAGAGGTGCCAATGAACATCATTCATACATGTTTTTGCTGTTATGGTTATAATATTTTTTTAATGATTCATAAAAACGGAATACTCAGAATTACCTAATGGCTGATAAACTAGATAATTTACACACATAACAAAATACAAACACCAAAAACTGCTCTTTGTCTCTGGAGATTGAAAAACTTATGCATCCAACCCTGTGTGTTCTCAAAGATTGACTTGCTGACTGAGTAGTGCTTGTTTTATGATTTTGTTTATACTTCCATATACCAGTAACATAGCTACAGTAGTGTATGGTGTGGTAGGCTAGTAGTCAAATCTTAACTGTAGATAGCAAATATATGTTTATGTTTGAGCATTGTGGTTTTAGTAATTTATTTGCCATATATAGTATTGAAATATATACATTATAACAAACAAATTTTCAATGCTTTTTGATCAATTATGTGCTAATTCATGTGCATTATAGCTGACATGCCACATGATGAAGACAATGATGATTATTCCAGTGGGATTAATGATGACGATGAACATGAAGGTAAAATTAATATTTTTCTTTTTCATTTTTAAAGAAGGATGACAAAGTGGTGGAAAGCTGCAAATCATTAGGAGACTTTATTATTATTATTAATATTATTATTTACCATTCCCATTACCGTCCAATGATGCGAATGTCGCAGGCTTCTGTTCTTCAGTATCTAGTGACCTCAGTGAATCTTCAGGCTTATTTTCAAGGTCACAATTTTGATTTTGAGCCAATTGAAAAAAAAGAATCCTTGAGATTGAGATAATGTGTTTGTGGAAGGAAATGTCTCAGAAGTGGCACGTAATTCCACATTTTCATCCTTCATTTTCACATAGACTAGCACCAATATATGCACATATAACCCCCATGGACAGCAGTAGATGAGCCTTAAAGGGACATTTCACCCCAAAATCTAAAATATATATTTTTCCTTTTACCTGTAGTGCTATTTATCCATCTGAATTATTTTGGTGTGAGTTACTGAGTTTTGCAGATATCAACCATAAAGATGTCTCTCAAATATGATGGAACTACATCTGGCTTGGAAAAAATATTTTTGAAAAACTCACTACCCACAATAATCCACAGACCTTGTTGTGAGCAGTGCAGGATCTATTGTTTTTTCAACCAAACTACACCTGCCAACCATAGCTGAACATTAGCTATCTCAGTGGTGCTGGGTGAGCTACCTAATATCACAGCACAGCCGAGGAGCTAGCAATGCAGCAGTATATCATGAGACTCAAATCTGTGATATTAAAATTAAATTCTGACATTGTTTAAACAATAGAGGGCACTATCTACTTTTGACTTTGCTTGTCCAACATCCTAGTTTACTTGCATCAGTAGCTGTATCAAGGCTCAAAGACATGGTGGCCGCAGGTGAAGACTTTGAAATTAAGGATGTACCATCCTGTATAAAATCAGAGGTGGGGCAGCTGAGTCAGAAAATGAAAAAGGTAAGAATATAACAGAAAAGACATGGCAAGAGATATCAGGCCATTTCAGTTTCACTTACAAAGAATAGAAAAATATTATATTATACCCTATCCCAGAAATAATAAGGGATTCTTTAATTTGATAAAGAAAACATCCTAAAAAATATATTTTGTCTAAGAAATCAAGGGATCTTTTTCAGTCATAATCTCATTTTGGAAAAAAAAA